CTGAGCCGGTGAGATTTGAACCGCTGACCTGCTGATCTAGCAGTAGCCTGCAGTGCTGCATTTAACCACTGCGCCACCTTGGCTCTTATGATCTATAGCTATAGAAAATAAAGTAATCCATTTAACTTGGGAGGATACCATTTTAGAAAAGATGGTCAATTTTACAAAGTACAAAACAGATACTTCCTGAGAAAAATCTAAATTCTAAGGCCTTTAGAAGGAGAAGCACACAGTATCTTTCTAGTATTCTGCTACCTCTGAAGAGATACTTGGAAGTACGACATACAGGAATTAAGTCTACTAGAAACGTTAAGTTCATCTGTGTAATACTTACATTAATAGACTTGAGCTCCATTATTTTCTCAACTGGGTCAACTACAGAGTGCTCTTGAACATAGGTTCTCATTCTACAAGCACCAATAAGCTAGAAGATAAATATAGCATTAGCTGCATTGTGACATAAGCATAGCATCAAAAACTGAATTACATTATGCTGTTTCAGGGGCATGAAATAAAAGAAGAAACAATCCAGAATTTTTGCACCAAGTTCACCTTCCATAAAGGTTGTTTTAAAATATAAATTGGACTTTCCTGCTTCACTACCCTGATTTAACTGAACCTCTTTCAAGCCAAATATGTGAATCAAAGCCTTAATACTTGTACAAAATTCAACCATCCATTTACAACTATGATATGCTCTAGATATGTATGTACCCACAATGGAAGAATTTTTGAAAGGAAGATTCAATGGGTCATGAGTTGTCTAGTATAGATACAAATTCATAAAAAATAAAAAATATCTATAAACTAACATTTCTTTCTCAATTTATAAAACTTTTCTGCATTTAAATTGACATTTGTATAAAAACTGTCATATTTAATGTGTTGCTAAAATTGAAATTACTTGACCAACTAATTTTCATGCTATCCGAAACAGAAATAAGGAATGTAATCTGAGGGAAAAAAGAAACAATAAAACAATTCAACTTGCTGTAACATGCGGTTGTTTATGATGTAACAGGCACAATAGATTCATTCAACAGTTATAAGGAGCTGTTGCACAATCCAATGTATTAGTCACCTTTATTATAAAAAAAACCTAAATGAATATGCAATAGTAACTTTCTGTGAGAATTTGGCCTATTCAAATTCTGAACATCATTCGGTTATGGAAATATCCACCTTTTGTGGATATAATAACAGAATAAATAACAGAAATTCTAAAGAAAATGGAATGCAATATGCTACAATTGTGGACTATATGTTACATTTTGTAAAACCAAAGTCACAAGACATACATTCAAAGAAAATTGTTGAAAGCCCTAATTCTTGGTATGGCACTTACTGATTTTACAATGGATGGCATTCCCCATTCTGTACTCAGCAGCCGATGGCTATGTAATTTTCCATTAGTATCTACATGCCGGTCCAAAACATCAACTCCAACTACGCTGGTATTCATGGGATTGGGGTATTTCTGCATAGCAGCTGTAGTAACAGTCTTCCATGGGTGACTATAAAGCAAAAACAAAAACACAAGTATGGCCACTTTTCATTAGGCTACATGATGCATGGATGGGCAACGAGCGACTAATATGTTTTTGGTTCCTCATGGGTCAATTTAAAAATAAAAATAAAAAATCAATCATCCCCAGAATAGTCTGTCAACAAGCCATATGGTTTTTGGTGCATATGTATATGTTATCAAGCCTCTAGCAAGCTTAAGTACTTAGCTCATAATCATTTCAAAGCAAAATGAAAAATGTTTAAAAGATTATCCCAAGGATGCTTTTCCAAAAGGTAACTGGAAATACTTTGATTTTTGTTTAAAGATGCTTTGCTTACCCATCCAAGAAGCTTCTTCAATTCTAAATGAATGGTGACGTTTAAAAGGTTAAACATTAATAATTAAATAATTAATTTAAAAAAATATTCACCCAATAACATCTCAGCTACACAACTGTAAGCTATTGTATAGAGAGATCGACAGATGTATAGTGAAAACGATAGCACTCTTCCCCAGCAAAATACATAACCTTCAGATTCAACGAATACTTTCACCAAACAGGGCAGTGGTTCTCAACCTTCCCAATGCTGCAACCCTTTAATACAGTTCCTCATGTTGTGGTGACCCTCAACCATAAAATTGGTGTCTCGGTTCCTA